CCCCAAAACCCCAAAACCCCAAAACCCCGGTAGATGAAGACATGATTGAATTATTAAGAATTACCTCTGTCAATAATATTTGCATTTTCCAATCCATTACTTCTGAGTTAATATGGGGAATATTTTAGTACAATTCTCTTTCCGAAATACTTTACAAATATCTGGGTGACTGTTTCTTCACAAACTTCTAGCAATTCTTTTTCAAAACGGGAACCTTCTAAATGAAACTCTTGCAAACTTTTCTTGAGATCAGGAGAAGTGGCTAGTCCTTCAATCAAGTTCTTCAGTTCATTAGGACCGGTGAAGTAATTGAATTTTCTTGAGAAAGAAATGTATGTGAATCTTAAGACTCTGATCTTAGAACCCTTCAAAGCCAACGAAAAATCTGGAACTCTTGGAACTAAGAGAGTGCAGCCATAGAACTCTACAATTTCAACATGTCTGAAAGCTGCAAGAAACCTTTTGAGTTGTTTTTCATTGAACTGGAATCCACAAAAACATATTTCCTTTTTAACTGAAGAGCTAAATCTCAAGATCTGAGGCAAAATATGGTTGGGAAGAAGGCAATCATCAAGTGGATAATATAACCATCAGGTTTGCACTCTTCTTGGGAAATTTTGAAATAAGAAAACTCCAAGAGCGTTGAATCTCTTTGATTCAATCATAATTTGATTCTTATCAGGAATTCTGAGAAATCTGTGTTTATACCATGCAAGAGAACCATTTCTATAGCATTCAAACTTTAGAGATGTTGCCAAATATATATCATCACACCCATTTTCTTTAACATCTGAGCACACCTTGCTCTGAAAGTCTCTATACTTCTGCTGCACATCTACATTTAAAATTGAGTGAAGTCTTACATAAAGAAGCTTGATGGTGAATGTAATAAGAAGACTATTATTTTTAATTTATAAGATGCTTTGTTTCATAGGCCTACTCATCCTACATGGAAAGTTATGTGCAAACTAATGTCTTGAGCTCTAGTAGCAATCGAAGAAGTAAATTTACTATTTAAATATTTTGCTTTCTTGAAGCCCCAGATGAACAAGCGAGCAGTCTGGCTGATCCGAGTAGGCTTAGATATAAGGTTTCTCAGATTTCGAGTTCGAGTAATTGTTAAAAGTTGGGATTATAGCATTTAGTGGCGATTCTTAACAAATAAAAAACAAGGAATTAGATTAAAGTGATAAAGTAGATTCTGAGCGATCGATATCAAAGCTATGTTATGATAGAATTCACTCAAACTATTGGCAAAGAATTGGCCAAGGCCTTCTTCATAAAGAGCTCAGACTATCGGCTAATATAAGTGGGTGGGCAGAAAGATTGGAAGAACAAAATAGAGATGCCAATATCACAAAACTTGGATCTTTGCTTTAGTATCCAACTGAAATATTCTTCGAAACGTTAGTGAAGCCCAGACTCGAACTGAACTGATAAACTTACTCAGTTCTATCATGATGTACTCAGATCTGCCCCAAATGGTGGAATAGTACATGTCAGCTTGATTGGATCGACATTTACTTGAAGAGGGAGAACTTTCATATCCCTTCGTAACAGGATTGACTGAATCCTCCTCCTTGTGTTCTTCTTGATCAATAGTGTCAAAGCTATTCTTGGAGATAGTTTCTCTAAAATTTGCTATATCTGCATCCACATATACTCCGAATGGATGGACTACAACTGATTTTGCAAAGCTTACCTCTACTAGGTTTGCAATCATCTTTTTGACTAATTGTGCATGATGCCTCACTCTTGTCCTGGTTTGGAGATTTACCTAAATGACTGGTCTTACTATTGCCAACAACTAAATTTTATGACTGAAATTCTATTGAGCAGATTCCTAAATTTACTAAATATCTTATGCCAATCACGCTATTCAGAAGTAAATTGTCTAAGTATCAAAATTCTATTTAAGAGGAGTCTCCTTACGACTAGAAGGCATCTATGAACTTCTGGATGATCAATGCTCTCAAACAAATTAGTAATGTTGTAGTTAAGAAAATTGCATCAAACTTACCTTTTCTTGTTTGCTCTGCCCATGGATTTATGTTCCAAGATCCATGTGTTTGCTTTAAAAAGTTTTTAGATGAAAGACTGCTAGTTTTAGAGCTGTCTATCGAACTTGGCATATCCAAAGAATCTTTCTTGTCTTCTTCATTCAGAGCTATGTGCATATTTGCTTCAACACCAGGCTTTTCTGAGCTTGTATTGTGGGAATTTGGAAGCTCATCAAAATTCCGCGGAATTACTTTAACTAGTAAACTGTCATTTGATTGCTCTTGAGTAATACCTACACTTTTTTCTGTGCTTGGATCCTCTCTCTCAATGACTATAAGCATCAGACATCAGTTCACCAGGTGGGATAAATGTTTACCTGAATTATCAGACTGAACTTGCATCTGATTCGCCTTCTGCTCCATTTTTTAATAAAATTATTAATATTAGATTATTACTTCCGTGAGTATCCCGGGGTTTTGGGGTTTTGGGGTTTTGGGGTTTTGGGG